AATGCATGGTTTTTCTGAATAACTAGGTTTCTGTCCTGCAATGGGATTTCATTGGAATTATGCACCGTAGTAAACAAATCTGCAGGTAAAGATCATGTTTACCTTCCAGTGATCGAAGGCTAAATTCAAATTACAGAGGTGACGAAAATGGCGTGCTATGATAGATGGACATCTTCCATCAGTGGAAGGAGCACATATGAATGGGGAGGGGGGTGCTAGACCTATTATCTGGTTTGGTTCTCTCTTGTCAGTGTTCCTTTTAGTCCGTTGAATTCCTGTGCTGTGGCGCTTCAAAGAGGAAGGGAAATGGCAAGGGAGTGGGTCACCAGTTGAAAATGATCCTCATTATATAACCTGCACTACACACATACACACACAGTTTTTGCAGACTGTCCCTTCCCACACCCACCCACAGTTTGCATCCCTTGGCATGTTCTTTCTGGGTCCTACCACTGGTCTCCCCTTCTCCCCAGAAGGCAAACAGCCTATTCTTCTCATGATTCAGTTATGCCGATTCAACTTCATAATGTTTCCATTAAAAAAAACAACTTCCTTTTAGTCCGTTGAATTCCTGTGCTGTGGCGCTTCAAAGAGGAAGGGAAATGGCAAGGGAGTGGGTCACCAGTTGAAAATGATCCTCATTATATAACCTGCACTACACACATACACACACAGTTTTTGCAGACTGTCCCTTCCCACACCCACCCATAGTTTGCATCCCTTGGCATGTTCTTTCTGAGTCCTACCACTGGTCTCCCCTTCTCCCCAAAAGGCGAACAGCCTATTCTTCTCATGATTCAATTGTGCTGATTCAACTTCATAATGTTTCCATTTTTTAAAAAAACAAGCATTTTGTATTTGCGTTTTGCCTCAATAAGACTAGTCCTCCAGATGGCTTTTTATGGCCCCCAATTCAAGTTTTGGCCCACCTCCCAACTCTGCTTGTTTGAAATGAGGAAATACGTTGTCTTTACTCTTCTTGTGGCAAGGTTCTAGGTATTGCAAAAAGTGTTCTAGAATCTCTTCTGGACCACTCTTGAGGCCCTTCATTTTCCAAGTCTTTGTGCATTGTCTTTCCTTGCAGATACTCACGTGGCTGAGGAGCACGAGAAAGTGTGGCAAAAGAGAGAGAGAGAAAGAGAGAGAGAGAGAGTATTATGGGAAAAAATATGCATGTTCACAGCACCGAGGATTAAAAGCCCATATTCTTATCACTGCAGAACAGAGTATTATAAATCCAGTCTTAGAATACTAAATCCCCTCTGGACGTGGCCATTGTTCGGGAATATTGGGAGGAAAAAGCCTTGAGACAGAAATAATAATCAGTTTTGGAATGACATATTGCCACATAGAACATTTCTCGTATTATCCGCTTCCCACCTCCTCTCTATCTTTTGGTTGGACAATTTCACAGGAAAAAGTAGATTAGAGCAGCCCCTCCTGCATGCCTCCAAAGTTTGAC